AGAGAGAGAGAGAGAGAGAGAGAGAGAGAGAGAGAGAGAGAGAGAGAGAGAATAAGAGAGGAATAGAGAGATGGGAACGGAGGAAGAATGAGTGAGATACCGGGAAAAGATTTGGACAGAGATGGAAGGAGAGAGATTAAATTAGACATCTAGTGCTCGAAGGGCCTAACAAGATGCCTAAAATTAAAACAAAAATAAGACCAAGAACGCCAAAGGTGTCACGTAAGCTTTCGTGTATCTCAACAACTCCAAAAAAGAGTGTAGTATTACTCCCAACATATTTACGATGCATCATCCCTTTTTACACGATTATCTATTTATTTTCTCTTCAACAAGTTCATTCATTCCCCTCCTCTTGATCGCCTACAACCACTATAATATTTTAGCGAGCGGCGGGCACAAGTGTGGTAGGAAAAACACATCGGCGGCGAGCCAGGTTTCCGAGCGTTGACGGAAGAGGTCGAAGGTAGCCGCCGGCTGGTGCGCTAGAAAAAGCTTGTGTCTCCGGCCACTCGTCCCATTCGGCGTTAGGACTTGTGAGTGTCTGCGTGTGTCTCTCTCCGTGTGTCTGTCTGTGTCTACGTGCGCTTTTTTCAAGTGACGGCAGCTATAGCAATATCATCATTATAGTGCCGGCCGGCTTCTTCTGGCAAATTTCTTGTGACTTTTTACAAGTGCTGCTTGGATTTTTCTCTGAAATTATTGTTTATTAATTCGTTTTTAGATATTTTTTTCGAAACTGTATTTGCATTTTGATATTTGTAACTCTTTTCGATTATTGCTGCTGAAATATGAACGATAATATATGTGTAGATATCTAGGATTCTGTGCAAAATTCATGAAAAAGTCATATCTCAAGGACGGAGCGATAAGCCGCAAAATATTTCCTTGCGTGCACAAGATCACGACCGCTCTTCTTTTGCTTTTTTCGTTGCATAAATTTAACGCAACTTTTAGAAGTAAAAAAAAAATAGTGTGTGTGTGTCTACTCATCTTTTCCTGGCATATATTCTCAAACGTGCCCAATCAAATCGAGTGATTCGCCAAAGCAAGCTAAATAAATGATCTTCCATGACCACCCTGAAAGATGAGAGTTCTAAACTGAAGCAACCACACTCTGCACAATGTGAATATTCTCAGGAGAAAAAACGACAACAAATAAATACTTTGCTTGTGAATTTTCAACTTGGAAATGTAGCCTACAATCCCGAAAAAAAAGTATTTTAATACGTGCGCAAAAGCTTATCTTTTTCTTCAGTTAGCCGAGCAGTAGGCAGTTTGATTCCTTACGACTTGAGGCTTGTTGTGGTTGGCAGCTTCCTCCTTATTTATGTTCCAAGTTTCGATTCTGTTCATTTTGTGAGTATGAATAAATATATGAGTAAATAAATATATGAATAAATAAATATTTTCATTTTCCTTGTTTTTCTTTTCTCAGATCAAGTCACCACAATCCTCTCTTGAATCTGTAAATTCTGAAAAGCAAAGGAGCTTTTCTTGAATATACGATTCGCTAACACCCAAAAAAATCTCGCCAATCCCTCCTCAAGTTTTCACCAGCACCCTTACCACCAGCACCAAAACCCATCCGTCATCATGCTGAAGGGACAGACCCGCCAGGACATCCACGAGGATGACAACAGCGGCCGTAAGAGCACCATCTCCACCAGGGCCTTCGTGTTCACACGCTCCGACCCGCTGATCAAGGCCCGCTCCGGCTCTCTGTACAGCTCCCGCTCCTCCATGAATACACGCAGCTCCATCAGCCCCGGCGTCATGCAGCAGCTGTCCAGCTCCGGAATCACCGACTTCCGTGGCAACCGCGAGAAGGAGAAGAGAGAGATGCAGAACCTGAACGAGCGTCTGGCCAGCTACATCGAGAAGGTCCACTTCCTGGACGCCCAGTGCAAGAAGCTGGAGGCTGAGAATGAGGCTCTGCGCAACCGCAAGATGGAGGACCTCCAGCCCATCCGTGACGCCTACGAGAACGAGCTGGCCCAGGCCCGCAAAGTCATCGACGAGCTGAGCTCCTCCAAGGGTGTAGCTGAGGCCAAGCTGGTGGGCCTCCAGGACGAGATCTCCCAGCTCCGTGACCTGTGAGTACCTATACGTGACCTTTGAACTGTCCACGTCATACTTTGGCACTGTCTGTGGTGGCCTTCACCTTTGAACTGTCTGTGGTGGCCTTCACCTTTGAACTGTCTGTGGCCTTCACCTTTGAACTGTCTGTGGCCTTCACCTTTGAACTGTCTGTGGCCTTCACCTTTGAACTGTCTGTGGTGGCCTTCACCTTTGAACT